GTCCCGTTTCTAGATTACGGCAAACCATACCGGCAATATTGAACCGGCAACTTTTACCCGTAAAATGGAAAACGGATAACTGTCTGTAAAGTGAACTACGGACGTTTCGTCATTTTACGGAATTATATGCCTTGGTTTTACAGACAGTCCCGTTTCTAGATTACGGCAAACCATACCGGCAATATTGAACCGGCAACTTTTGCCCGTAAAATGGGGTGAAAATTTTTTACAGTGTAGGTTTCGCAGTGGAGAAGGTGCTGCCATATACGGCGGACGAAGTTTTACTTTCTTTTTCGTTTTGGAAAGAATGTATTGTTGTGTTATATAAGTCCTCCTGCATACAAACAACGAAGTTTAATTATATTTGTCTTGTTTACTCGGCTTGAAACCCTAAAAACAGGTTTCGGCAACTTATTGCTTCCATCATTTTGGAGTACGCAAGGCAGTTATTTCGCTGTTCTGGTTTCGGTTACGAAAGCATGGCAAAACGCTCGTAGTTCCCGCCCTCAGTACACTTGGACACCTTCCACACTTTGACACCGGATAACTAGATTGTGGCGACGCACAATCACCAGCAATTTGGCGCTATAAAACCTCGTCGTCGTCTGCTTCAGGGAAGCACGGCCGCCCGCTACACAGTCACGCGGGACAGAGGAACGTCCGTCGACCGACGCCGCCGAGGCAATAAAACCGCCGTTCCTTTTCTATGTTGGGATTCGCTCGTCACCACGACGCAGCATCCCACAAGATGAACAAGGATTTAGATTTGCTTCAGAGGTCACTTTCGCCGCTTCCTCACCGTCGAGCAGCCGGATCAGCTGACGGCAAGCCGCGGATGAAAGGCTTCAGCATCAACAGCCTAGAGCCACTACAACAGCCCAAGTGCACTCACGATGCGGGCGACGCGGGCTTCTGTCAATCCAGGGGCAGACCCAAGGGGGAGGCGGGAGGCGACGGGGGCGGCCGCCTACCCTCCAAACAGTCGACCCCCCCCCCCCCCCCCCCACCCCCTTCTTGGAGGGCGATTTGACATGGGTGGATTCCCCGAAATAAAACCAACTCCCGTCCTGCCAGGTGGTAGGAAGCTCGGTACTCAAGGACAAGGGTTCGAAATAGGGTAGGCCGCACCCTAGCAGGCGCACACACTTGGAGAACCACTCCGTCGCTTAGACTGAAGTCCGCGGCGGCGGTTTCAAAGCACGGCAGAAGTTAGAACCAAGAGTCGGCGCAGCGGCGCACATCTAGGGGCCGTCGGCGCAGTGTGGTTCTGCGGCGGTTAAAACAAAAGGCGCAACCGGAGTCCTGTTTATCTTGCTTTAGAGTTTAGATTTTCCCTCCCCCCTCGCCCCCCCCCCCCCCAAAAAAAAAAAGAAGAAAAAAAAAAAGAAAAAAACGCAGTTCTGGATCCGCCCCTGGGTCAACCGGTAGCCCAGCACAAACCGCGTGAACGTTCCAGCTCTTCGTCATGACACGCTGTTGCAGAAAGCAGGGTAAAATACAACTACACGTACCACCGAATCAAATGCACTGTTATCGTAAATATTGGCTTGTGATTGCGCCTTTGTAGATCATCTTATTCGTTTTGCTGGAGAGACGCAACCGACGGGCATACCAAAATCGTTTGCGTATTCCGCATACTTCGCAAAAGCACTTACCCAGTAACCTTGCGAAAATCGCGAAACACGGAGTCCGCACCGCCCTGACTTACCAGTCTTTTATTTGCTTTAGAGCAGTTTGTACCTGCTAGTAGGTATGTCAGGTGAAACTGCAACTTGAAACTAGGGGCAATGCCAGAGAGAAAAGTGAAGAAGTTGAGAAAGCATGCTCGCTCTCTCCAATTTCTGAACTTTCAAGTGATTGTACCATAATAAATTCACCAACACCTTTTTCCAAAATAAAGAAAAAACGCTACGTTCACTATGTAAAAAATGGTCTCAGTTCATGCATCCGTAGGCAGGTAGGAAACGTTGCCCTAATTTATTCACACCGCATGACGAGTGCAACAAATTCACACGAGATTTACAAGAAAATATCAGTGGTGACTTATGTTTCCCTGAAATTCTGCATGACCAGTCGTTTGCAGGGCCGAATCATCTACTCGGGCGGTGTGCGTCGCTGTGCAAACGCCAACACGAAGCATAACAACGGCAGGTCTAGGTCAAGAATTCGTAGTCCATTGTTCAATTAAAACGACGTAATTTTGTTGAAAACGCCCGCAGCTTTTTACTCACGGTATGCGTCGAGAATCTTCCACATTTTGAAACGGAACGAAGGAAGATTTACTTTTAAAAGCGCTCGCTGCGTCCTCCCGGACCAGTTGGACCGGATCAGCTGACGACGACGACGGAACTGAACCCGTTGAATTTTAACGCCACAATAACCAATTTGCGCTTCGTGTTAGTATGGGATTCTACCTCCAAGCACCGCACGACACACCACGAACGTTTCAACTCTTTGTCGCATCGCCGTGTTGCACCAAACCTATCTCTATGCACCAAACAGAACAAGATCGCCGAAGTCAACGGAGCGCTGTCGTGAACCTTGGCTTGTGGTTGCGCACTCGTGGACCCTGTGACTCCCTTCGCTTTTAAAGCACACCCGACGGTTACGAATGATACTTTCCGTCTTCCGGGACCATCACAGGGGCACTTCTCCGATCACGTCTTCGCTACATGTGCTCGTAAACCGCGTCAAACGTGGTCAAACCGAAGCAGCCGAAGCCGCCAAAGCGATACCGGCGCCATGTTGAACGTGCGTTGTTGCTAGATTTTCTCCGACCAAACAAAAACAACGAAAGCAAACCGGCTCTAGCTCCCAGCGTACATCGGCGTTGCGCCGTGGCCAGATTTTCTCCGTCAGCTCTAACTTAAAGACGACCTACAGATGCAGCAACACTGGTCTCAAGTTTTAACATGGCGGCCCCCACGGAGCGCCGTAAATTCTGAGGAGGGTGCATTGGAAGCGGCGGCACCTTCCCCCCCCTGGTGTCGCGTCGCCCGTAGTCAAAGCAGACCACTGAGGGCGAACGCGTTCTCATCTAAAACGCCATTAGACAAAAAAAAAAGGCGCTGCGTGGCAGGCATTTAACGGGAGCTCCCGTGGCGCGATCAGAGTTACAGTACTTGCGTAACTCGAAATATTTAGTCCTTTAATTTAGGGGTGTGCAATGATCTTGCTTTCACTCGGGCCGAAAGTGACAGAATAAATATTCACAAAATGACTATCCTAGAAATACTGTTTTTTTTTACATGTGAAAATCCCTAAGCACTTACACAAATTTATATATATATATATATATGTATACATATATATATGTATATATATATATATTATATACATATATGTATACATATATATATGTATATATATATATACATATATGTATGTGTGTGTGTGTTATCGGTGTCTTCTCACGAAGCAATCCATAAGATGAAGGCTCCAGTACTCTGTGAGGGCAATAAATCAAATATTCTTATATTCTAAAAAAAAAAAAAAAACTACGCTCTTGCAATTTCTTATTGCTGCGTGAATCTGTTCTGAAAATGATTTTAGATTCAGTTTCTTCTCTATGTGCTACGCCAGTGGTTCTCAAAGGGGGGTCCGCGGACCCTTCGGGGTCCCCGAAGGCATTCTAGAGGTTCGCGAAGCCCTGCTTCGTCAGTACTGCCGGGCAATAAAAGTTGCCTTTCTTCAGATCGAGAAGCAATGTTTCAGTTTCGGGCGAGTTTTCTCGTGTGTATATCAATAAGAGAACTCTACTTTACACTAGGCATTAGCAATATTCATTCATTAAATCACTGATATATTTAACCTATACCTCTCCCTTTTCCTCACCGCAAACGGCTTCATCCATCATCTCCGCCGATCCACAAGGAGTCCGCGAAACATCAATGGTTAAGAACCACTGTGCTACGCAAATACTGAACGTTCCTCCCTCTATGCTTCGACGGGTATATATATACATATATATATATATACACATATTTAATAGAAAATATTTCGCTAATGGCGACGATTTGCATTATTGCCGGTTAAGTCTCAATATACAAAAGGGGTTTATTTATTTTTAAATGAAAGTGATTCTTTAATTCTTAATATATTCTAAACCGCGTCCTCTGCTTGCGCCAGTGAGCCTTTGTCCAGAACACAATATCTAATCGTACTACCGAACCTTCAATTCGCAACTCCTCATAAAACTTCGGCAAAACTTCAGTAGGGGGTCAGAAAGTTTCGCCACGTGAGCTACTCAACTGGAGGGGGCATTTTTGTTTGGCCATTCCACCATGCGTGAGCCACCCCAAATTCGTGATTACAATTAGTTTTCAATGAACAAGGTCTCGTGCACCGACATTTTGCTACGCCTGAAATTGTGATCACTCTATTAAAACAGTGATTCTTGATTGATCTCTAGCAAGAAAACTTAAAAATTAGCTTTTTGCCGCTTGTTTTTGAACAAAACTAAGTATTTCCAAGGGGAGAGGAGCCAGCCGATTAAAAGTATACCTGTTTACGGTTCCTCTACTAGGTAGCGCTAGTCACGGCGCTTAAGCTTAACAGTGACGAGTACATTGAAAGTAAATTTGAGAAAAGAAAAATAGGAAGAATTATAATATGTTCGAGATAACTGCAGATCCATGCAAGATTTATCGGCTGATTGTAATTCACCTAGAATCTTAATTGCGATCGCCTGGATCATAATTCAAAAGAGTTCAATTGTAGTTACCTAGCGGGAAAGCGCATTTTTTCTCCTCGCGTCCCGGTATAAATCAGCAATGAATTGCAGACTGATACTCCAACTGTGCTTACGCATCGCCATTTATGTTCGTGAGCACGCGGCGTCTTGGCGAAACCGATCGCTCCACTGATTGCGAAAGAGCCTCGACCTTTAGGATTTTTTTATACGATTTCTTTTGGTAGAGCAGCAAAAACAGCATCTGCGCTTGCACAGGCTCACTCATAAAATGCCGCGAACATTTTCGCTTTTTCTCCCGGCACAGGAAACACCTGCGATGCTCGCCATACCAAACAAATGGCGGTTGTTCGCAATCCTTCTGGCGTCCAATGTGACCGTCTTGTTAGGCTTGGACAGCAAGGCGTTTACACTCACAATTCTGCACACCAACGACGTCCACTCGCACATTGAAGAGACCACCAAGTATGGGGGAGTATGCTCGGAAAAGGACAAGAACGACTCAAAATGCGTCGGAGGAGTTGCAAGGATCGTGACCAAGGTATGGTAAAATTCAACCTTTCAACAGTTACTCTGAGTGCAAAGACTTTTATTTGCTCTAAATTGATATTTACCTTACACCATCTCTGTTCACTATAGAGCTCTCTCCGTAGCTATATCGCAAACTTAATTCTGTCAATGAAAACAAAATATTGCCGCGCGCAGGGCCGAGCAAGCAGCGCCCGGTCACGGCATTCTAGAAGGTGCGTTTATTCTTACTTGGGGCGAAACTGTTATCATTTCGCCCTAGTTTCTTGTTTTCGAAAGTGCGTGTTTATTCTCACCCAGAACGCTCGATGCTCGAACCTTCTTGACCGGATTTTCGATATACCGAGGCAAACTAGACAAGGAGCGGCCCGCGACCTTGTCGAGACAGGATTCTCCAGCCATTTCCCGTGTCCTACAAACATTCGCCGTCCGTCGAGGTATTTTCTACGAAGATAATTTTGAGAACAGCAACTCAACATGGCACCTGGTAACCCCTAGAAGTCTTTGAGATCTTCCAAGCCTTCCACAACGACCCGACGTCTGGTAACCTTGGCTACAGCAAGACTTTCGCAGGGATCCGAGAGAACTATCTGGGCCAGGCTTCCGAAGGCTGTCCGCCTCTGCACACATTCTTGCCACAAGTGCCAGCGACGGAAGAAACCGCCAACGAAACCGGCAGGCCTCCTGCAGCCGATCGATCCCCCACTGCACCGTTCCAGTATATTGGAATGAATCTTTTAGGACATCTCCCACCGTCGACGCAAGGAAACCGTTGGATAATCGTGGCAACTGATTATCTCACCCGGTATGCCGAGACAAAAGCAGTCCCGTCGGGAACTGCTGTGGAAGTAGCCAAGTTCTTCGTTGTGTCTAGTGTCCCCCGACACGGCGCTCCACAAATCCTGATTGCTGACCGAGGCTCATCATTCATGACAAAACTGACACAAGAGATACTCCGACTGAACAACACCGACCACCGTCAAAAAAAGTGAAAGTAGAGCGCAGCTCTTAGGGAGGAGGAGGGAAGGGTACTGGGGGGTGAAGTGACCTGAGGGAGGGGGGGTCACGTGACCTTGGGGGGTCACGTGACGATGCCGATGATGTCATCAGTGACGTCACTGATGACGTCATCAGTGACGATGACGATGCGGACTCCGATGACGTCATCAGCGATGATGACGATGACGGTGCGGATGTCGGTGACGTCATCAGTGACGTCACTGATGACGTCATCCGTGATGATGACGATGACGATGCGGATGCCGGTGACGTCATCAGTGATGATGACGATGACGATGCGGATGCCGGTGAGGTCATCAGTGACGTCACTGATGACGTCATCAGTGATGATGACGATGACGATGCGGATGCCGGTGACGTCATCAGTGACGATGACGTCATCGGGTAGGTCACATGACCTCGGCGGGGAGGTCACGTGACCTTGGGGGTCACGTGACCCTGCGGGAGGGGCCACGTGACCTCTGGGGGTCACGTGAACTTGGGGTGACCTGGGGGGTCACGTGACCTTGGGATGACCTTGGTTACGCCGACGCCGACGCCGACGGCGACGCCGACGCCGCTCACGCCGGGAACGGGCCCCTAAGAGCTGCGCTCTAAAACGGCATACCACCCGCAGACCAACGGGCTGACGGAGCGATTAAACAAGACCATCGCCGACATGATGTCGATGTACGTGGAGGTGGAACACAAGACGTGGGATGAGGTGTTGACCTACGTCACGTTTGCGTACAAAGCGGCGGTTGAAAAAACCACTGAGATCACACCTTTTGAGCTGGTCCACGGCAGAAAGGTGACGACGACTCTCGACTCTATGCTGCCCAATGACCCGACGGATGATGGCACCGACGACGCCAAGCTGGTCACTCAAAAGGAAGAAAAGGAACGACAGTTAGCACGCCTTCGGATAAAGGAACCACAACGTGTCGACGCTGGCCGGTACAACCTTCGCCGCCGCGACATGGAGTTCCAACCCGAAGACAGGGTGTGGGTGTGGACGATGATTCGCTGCCGCGGCCTGAGCGATAAACTGTTAAAAAGTTACTTTGGACCCTACAAGGTCATTTGCCGCCTTGGGGACTTTAACTACCAGGTGCTTCCCGATGGAGCCCGACCATCAGGATGCCACCAGCCACGATCCCGAAGTGGTCCACTTAGTTCTACTCAAGCCGTCCTATGCGCGTTAGGATTGTGAAGCTCATGTTTATTTCGTCTCACCGTAATTTTTATTAGCCATTTTTGTTTTCTTTCGCGTTTTATCGGGACGATGCGCTTTTAAAGGAGAGAGAGAGTGGGGGGGGGGGGGAATAATTCGGCGCCCAGGGCCGAGCAAGCATAGCCCGGTCACGCTATTCTATAAGATTCACATTTATCCTTGCTCAGGGCTTTAACTTTTATCATTCTGCCTTAGGTCTTTGTTCTTGGAAGTGCCTGTTCATTCTCACCCCGAACGCTCCAAGCTCGAACGTTCTCGGCCTAGTTTTCGCGATGCCGACGCAAAGTAGATAAGGAGCGGCCCGCGACTTTGTGGAGCCATCAATTTGTGCGCGAAGTACAGGATCGATTACTCGACAAGGTCGCGGGTTTTCGCCGGTCGCCACCCCCGGGACCCTTTTCTGCCGCGGTTTCCGTTCACCTTCACCCCACCCCCCCCCCCCCCCCCCCCCCCCCCCATCGCCTCTACGCAGATCCCGCCGTGAGAGCCTGTCACCCCTCGCCTCTCGTCGGGAATACTAAGCGCGGCAACCCCTGACGGTGGAGTTGCCGAAGACGACCGTCGTTAACATCCTCCAAGAACGCCGGAGGGCCCCCATCCTAGCGACGACAAAAATAGGAACGACGATTCAGCAACGGTGCCCCACAACCTCGCCATTCTCATCGACGGCCACAACGCGCCTTCACTTGTGGACACCGGAGCAGGTTACTCAGTTGTGAGTGGGAAGCTCTCTCGCCAACTTCGGAAATTCGGGATGCCCTGGGACGGCCCACAAATACGCATCGCCGGAGGACACCTTATCACGCCTGTTGGGAGGTGCACTGCTCTCGTCGAAATTCACGGGGAGACCTGTCCAGTCAAATTCGCCGTCCTTCTGGACCGTGCGACCGACGTCATCTTTTGCATGGACTTCCTATGTGAGTACAGTACCGTGATCGACGTTGGAGAAAACAGGCTGACGCTGCGAAAGCCCGTCCTCACACTGGAGGGATCCAAAACGACGCAAGCCGCCGTTCGAGTCATTGCGGACCTCGTGAACCTGCCACAGCGGTCGAACGTTCTTATGCCCGTCGTGACCAATGCAGTTCCCTGCGAGGAAGTCCCTCTAGAAGGCAACGTCCGACTGGTTTTCGGAAGAGGAATAGGCGTCGCAAGGGGAGTAACCAAGCTGCAGGATGGATGTACTCTGGTCCTTGTGACGAACTTTCGACAGGAGGCGCAGCATTTCACGAAAGGTGCCGCTGTAGGCTACGTCGAAAAACTCCGGAGCGCCGCCGAAATCGCCGCATTCTGCTATGAGCCCTCGCCATCTCAGCCGTGCAGTACGCCGCCGCCGCTGTTCGACATAAACTCAGCTCAGTTCCATGGAACGACGACAGCTCGGGGACCTCCTCGCCGAATACAGTGACTGCTTTGCGAGGACGTGGGAAGTGCGCCAAACGACAATTGCGAAAGATCGCATCGTTAGCAATGACGATGCGCTCTCCCTCTGCATCGACCGCCGTAGAAAACATCATTCATCATTCAGGACGAAACCCTTAGATTCTGCGTAAACTACCGGTGGCTCAACGCGGTGTCGAAGAAAAACACGTATCCGCTCCCCCGCAACGACGACACAGTGGACCGGCTGCGCCGCTGCCGATACTCACCGGACCTAGCATGTACCAAAATGTTATATGTTCTTTTTTTTCTTTTTTTTAGGGGGGGGGGGGGGATTACGTTTGAAGTACTTTTTGACGGAATGAAGCTCTGTACAGATGATGAGCTGAAAGCGGTGAAGCATTCTTGGAATTGAAATCGGCAGCAAGTTTTTCCTTCGCGACATCTACTTCTTGGTGAAGCGTTGGAGCACAGGTGTTGAACGTGAGGAGGGGTCAGGGGTTTTATGTTCAATTCTGAAGAATTGTGTTTAACTCTGTCTACAATCTTAGGCAGTTCAAAAATAAATTGCAGTTTCTTTTTGATTCCTCGTATATATGTACCTTCGTTCGCCCCTGACATGCTTGCAATTGACTAGTTGTGTGGGTTGACGGGTAACGGTCAACCTGCGAACATACAGGGTTGAAGGTGAACATTTGAGAGAAGTGTCTCTGGTTGGGGAGCAACAATAATAATAAATAAAATATACACCAACCAAATCCTCGTATAAAGGAAAAACTCTACGTTTCGAGACCAGCTCGGTCTCTTCTTCAGGGGTTGACTGCGCCTATGGCCGTTGAGAAGCAGCAATCTGTTTTCTTATTCTTCTACGGCAGTGTCTATCGTTTTGCATCGGTGAGGTGGCAAAGTCCGTTCACGTAGCCGGTCAGTAGAGTGCCGAGGGATCTATTTATGTTTTCTGGCGTTGTTTGTATGTGCCAAGATTCAATAAAAAGTCTATGTCTGGGATTGGTCTCAACAGCCAGGATGCTGGTGTTGGCAAAGTCAATTTTGTGGTCCTTGACCGTGGAGCATGAAAAGGACTATACCTTACCTTTCCTCGATGTGCTCGTCAGAAGACAAAATGAAGAGCTCCAGTTTTCTGTCTAAAGAAAACCGACACCATAATGGACGCTATTTCCATTTCCATTCCAATCACCCAGCCTGTCACAAGGCATCGGTGGTCACAACACTCTTATCTAGGTCAAAAAATATCTGCTCATCCGAAGCTGACCGAAAAAAGAGGAACACACCATCTTCGCCGACCTACAACATAACGGTTTTACAAGCAGCTTTATCCGCCGCATTGCGCGTGATCAAGCCCGAGATCGCCGACACCTGCAACTCCCAGCAAGTACACA